TTGCATTGTACTGGTTTACATGGAAAAAAACCCTATTAAGTTGCATTATACTGGTTTACATGGAAAAAACCCTATTAAGTTGCATTATATGGTTTACATGGAAAAAACCCTATTAAGTTGCATTATACTGGTTTACATGTAAAAACCCCTATTAAGTTGCATTATACTGGTTTACATGGAAAAATCCCCATTAAGTTGCATTATACTGGTTTACATGAAAAAAAACCCTATTAAGTTGCATTATACTGGTTTACATGAAAAAACCCTATTAAGTTGCATTATACTGGTTTACATGGAAAAATCCCTATTAAGTTGCATTATACTGGTTTACATGGAAAAATCCCTATTAGGTTGCATGATTACACTGAAGTCCTTGAAACTGCTGAAGTCCTTGAAACTGCTGAAGTCCTTGAAACTGCTGAAGTCCTTGAAACTGTTGAAGTCCTTGAAACTCTTGAAATCTTGAAACTGCTGAAATCCTTGAAACTGTTGAATCATTGAAACTGTTGAATCATTGAAACTGTAGAAATGTCTGAAAGAGCTGAAGTCCTATTAAAATGCATGGGCCTATTAAAATGCATTGCAGAATTCTCAATGCAGATTTTTGTCCGATTGCGGAAAAACCGGAAATCGCTGAAGTCCCAAAAGTAATAGCAATAATCTCCCAAACATGTGGAACGTTTTGATGTATAACTTGTGGAAATTGTTGAAAATGTGAAAGCTGTGAAACGTGTCAAAAAAAATGACGGAATAAAGAAATACAAAACCAATGGTTGACTGCGGAAGGTTCCGCAGTCAATCAATTATTCTTACTGCAGTTAACACTAGGAGCGCCCCTATAGCGGTCAACTGACCGTCACTCACTTTAATATGCCATTGACACATGACATTGAATGAGAACAGTCTGACGGAGGTGAGATGTCACATTTTGAGGTGGAAAGTGACAACGGGGAGAACACCTATAATATTCTAAATCTGAACGTAAACCCATAGTGCATTCACGGCACAGACAGCAGTGTTGTAACAAGTCCAGAAGAAATAACGCACATGACCCGCGTAATGCCAGCCATACGCAGGTGTCTGTGTGCGCGCTGTCGCTCCATTCTGCCTTTTCATTCATCATCAATTACATTATTATATTTATACATACAAGAAGGCAATACAGCAGAATACAATATCGCAATAAAATAGAACAATTAGATGAACTATCAAGGCAGAGTACAGATAGAGCGCTGTGAGGCCTCTCGTCACCCGCGGACACCTGCAGGAGGAGAGCGACTGTGGGGCAGAAGCGGCCCTCATATATTCTTATTCATATTCTTATTTTATCCAGATAACACTGTGTGTTATTGTGCACAGCGCACACTGCAAGGCAATGATTATAATTTTGTTCTGATCATAAAGAGCACTGCTTGTCTAAAATAAATACATATATATATTTGTCTTTCTAACGTGTCCCGTGTAAAATTGAAGATTGTACATTGACGATGGTAGCCTAGCTGATGATCTTGTGTCAATACGAATATTATTATTATTATCTAGATAATATTTCCCACGGTGATTTGGGCTGGAAAGAGAAAACAGTCTGGAGATGACGTAAGAAGTAGACGCATATAGCAGCGCGAAGACGTTATGGTCCCGTGCTTTTCTAAACTATAATTTATATTGTTTGAATTTACATAATGTTACTGAGTCAAATTTAACATATAGTCTAAATCTAGCCTGAAAAGTCATCGTAATTTTGATGGATCAGTACACGCACAATGTGTCGTCTTAGCCTTTTATTTCGGCTAGAATTACAATTACTTAGCATATTTAGACAAATAATTTACACAGTTTCATTATGATCACAATTTCCTTGCAACATCAAGTTCTGGTTTAGTGAACAATCAATTTGGCAAAAGGCTGTATCAGCGCAAAATATATAGCGGTCAACTGACCGCAGGGGGCGATGCAAGGTATGTTTAGAACACAGCGGTTCTAGTGTTAAAAGAACAGGAAGTCACAAACTATGAATTTGCTATGGCTCACGGTCCAAACTTATTAAAAGTAAAATAAAAAAGTTTTAAGACAGGTGTATACAATCTTAATCTAATTCTTTTATATAAATTCACACAATAGACATCTAACAAACAACAAAACACAACTTGTAAACAACAATTAACAGACGAAATAACACTCAATAGAGATAGAAATTAACAAAAACGATCTTATACAAATTTAGTTTAGTTTACTTTTGTGGGAAGCCAGGTCCCTGTATAGAAAGTGTTTCTACTTTGCCACCTGCAGTGCTCGCTTACATCAAGTCAGTGATCAGAAAAACAGAAAACCGCCGGATCAGAAGTCTCCCACGTGTAACAAACCTCTGATTCCACCCGATGCTTTCTCTCATCTCTGTCCGTCTCTGTTTCGAACCTTGGAAGTCTGCGTTTCTACATCCTGCTGCAGACTCCCCAATCAGAGGCGAGAGTCGTTCTCTTTGCTGTCTCGTCCCCCGAGATCAGCGCTCCGACATGAGACGCCGCGTTTCAGGACGAGACGGAGACAAATGGCGACAACGTGGATATGTAAAGAAGCGTGTGAAGATCGGAAAAGACAAAGACGCACGCAGAAAAAACGCAATCCAACAGCATCATTTATCGTCTGCAATCGTCGTCTGTGGAGATGGGCGTTAAAATGGCGTCAGTGGAATTAGTTTAAAGAGTCTAAGATTGGACTAGTAACCAAAATATGAGTATTTTCTTAAAAAATAAGGTTTTAATGGTTGTAATTCCAACAGCGGCGAAAACACAAACAAGTTTATGCACGTTTTCTTTGGACCATTACAACAGTATCTCAAAATGGATTTGCAAAGTAGGTTATATAACATTGTCCCCGCAGAGAAATCTGTCCTCTGTATTTGACCCCATAATGAATGCGGTTAGGGCATGCAGGTTAAGCTCACGCCCGTGGGCAAAATCAGGGTGTGAGTATAGCCTTGATCTTTCAGTGGGGGCTTTGGGCAAAGTGGGGTTAAGTGTCTTGCCCAAGGACACAACGACAACAGTCATCAGTGGGAGTCGATGGAGAAGGTGCAGAGGTGGGAATTGAACCCACAACCTTCTGGCCTTAAGGCCAATGCTCTACCAACTGAGCTACTGTCGCCCTATCAACAGTATACTGTTGATCAGAACTATACTGACAGTATATTTCTGACCAATATATCGATGATTGTCATATATGATATGATATAATCGTTATCGTGAGCTTTGTATCTTGTATCGTAACGTATCATGAGGTACTCTGAGGTTCTACCCCTATTAACTATTATCATCTCTGTCATATTTTTGCCCAGTTGTAGTTGAATCCAAATCTACGAGAAAATAAAATCCAAATTACTGTCAAACAAAGTTATAATTAAATAAAAAAAACCTTTATACCATTTTTTAAAAATACTTCTTGCCTCAACCAGCTCGTATGTTTTTAAATTTGGCCTCTGACCAAAATGCGTTTGAGACTTCTGAGCTCGGGTCTCTTTCAGGAGGAGTGGTCGCCGTAGTATCGAGCACTACTCAAGATGTTGATGCTAGGGGAAACCGGAGCACCTGGAGGAAACCTACACAGACACAATGTTATCAGTAGAATCTAGGTCACATATTAGGCATAAGAGAGACAATATTTCTAGGGAAACAATTTCAAAGACACTCTCAAAATAGTTGTGTTCTATCACTAGTTTTCATATGCATGTATTTTTGGCCCTGTTCCCATCTTTATACCAGCATTTTCTGACAAAAGTGAATAAGAGAGGACCTTCTCACTTAAAGAGTAAAATAGTGACTAGAACGGCTCTTTCTTCCAAGTATAGAACAAACAACATTCGGCAACCGCATGCGGTAGTCGGATTTTTTTGCATGTTGCTTTTCCAAGTCCCTCTCTGTTGGGACCAAAAACATGTATTAAAAACCTTGACAGTCTGAAAGCACCATTACAACGCTGGAACGCACATTCTTTAGTTTTCAGACGCACAGGACTTCACACCAGAACGTCCTGGCCAGCGCCGGAAGTGGCGGAAGTAGCAGGCGGACTTGGATGCTAACGGGGTAAGCTAGCGGGTTTTTGTGTTAAGTTCATCTCCCATAGGGCAGCTCTGCAGTGTCTTTGTGTCCAGAGACCTTCCACGGACTTTATATAACAGTGGTATGTGTTCACGGAGGTGCGCAATAAGTACATTTTATTATTAAACGGTACTTCCGCATCTGCGAACACACTCGAAGCAGTTGCATAAAGTCACAGAAGCATGAAAACTCAAATGTCAACAAGCACAATGTCCCCCATTGTCAACCCTGGTTTAGTCCTGATGTAGCTTTTGTTTTGGCTGTTTTCGAGTATTCTCAGTCCGCTATTGTCCCCGTGACCACTGCGCGGCTCTCTGATTGGTCGCTGCACGAACGTCCCGAGGAAAGGTTGAGCAAAATCCATCTCCTGTGTTCCTCCCCTTTGACTTCCCACCGCGGTCCGTGCGTGCATTCCGAGACGTTCGTGCGTTTTGACGCTCAAACGCGCGTCACCATTGACTTTGCATTGAAAGCCGACGCAACGCATGATCCGGTCTGAAAGCACCATAACACAGACTGGGGGTGGTCTGTGTGATTTCAACTCACGGAGAAAACAAACAGTGTAAATACCAATCAAACATATGAGATTTAATGCCTTTCCTTTTTTTTCCCGTCCATTTTCCAATCTTACTGTGACCGAAGTTGGTCTGAAGTCGCTAAATCGAACTGGCTCGTTATAAACGCACCCCCTGTTACATTTGATCAAAATATAATAAAATGGGCGCTGTATGAAGTAAACAACATTTTCAAAAACACGACGACGGCTTTGGCAGTAAAAAATCCAGACCAGCCCCAGATATCGATCTCTCCGTGGGCTGAATTAATACGGCGCGGCTCCCGATGGACTGTCCAAAATAACATCTTAAAGTGGGAGAATCGATAAAGCCATTTGGTTCGGCCTGTGACATGTTAGAGAATGAGACGATTACCGCCGGAGGATTTCCAAACCTCCGAGACGCCGTGTGCTTGGATGGGCACGCCACAAATCCAGTGAGAGAAAAGTAATAAATCACAAAATTAGATATGAAAAAAAAAAAAAACGGTCAATGCTAACGATCTTGTGCATGTGCAGTCTGAAAACCGGGCCCCCCCCGAAAAATCAATGCAAACTAAATGTAAATGTCCTTCAAAACAGATGTGAAAGGACAGGTTTTTGATTTAACTCGATAGTCACATTGAAATCCATCAATAATTGAGGAGTGTGTTGATGGTGTGTAAAGAGTTGGTTATAGAGGTCTGTAGTCCCACCTCCAGGAAGGTGCAGCTCAGAGACATTGTGTGATAGGAGTACCAGAATATTTATGTATTTATTTAAACAGTTAAATTCTGTCACTTTCATGTTTTAGACGTTAATTTCACCCAATTCGGAAAGTTGAACAATCAATTCAAATTTTGTGCAAATTGGGACTTTGTATGTGCAAACGGTGGCGTTTACTTTGTCCAATAGTGCCCCCTACAATTTCATGTTTTTTTGTCTAATACCAATGAATACCAAAATACTACATTTTTTGCCAGATAAAAACTTGTGACATAAAAGGAGTGGGTTGAAGCACAAGAGCCAATACCATCAGACTTTTCATATCACAATAAAAATAGGAAAAAACAAGGACAAGAAAACTACATTTCTACAGAGCAACAGTCAACAACAACAGATTAAAGAGTAGGTCATACAATTAGACCAGAGAGAGAGGCCAGAGAGAGAGGCCGGAGACGGAGGCTAGAGACAGAGATAAGAGACAGAGTCCAGAGTGAGAGGCCAGAGACCAGAGAGAGAGGTCAGAGACCAGAGAGAGAGGTCAGAGAGAGGCCAGAAAGAGGCCAGAGAGAGAGACCAGAGAGAGAGCCCAGAGAGAGAGACCAGAGAGAGAGACCAGAGCGAGAGGCCAGAGCGAGAGACCAGAGAGAGACCAGAGCGAGACACCAGAGAGACACCATGTGCACCAGACAAATATATAACAGTAACAGAACAAGTCACAAACCAGGCCAGAGAGAAAGACCAGAGACGGAGGCCAGAGACAAGAGACAGAGTCCAGAGCGAGAGGCCAGAGAGAGAGGCCAGAGACAAGAGACAGAGTCCAGAGAGAGAGGTCAGAGAGAGGCCAGAAAGAGGCTAGAGAGGCCAGAGAGAGAGACCAAAGAGAGAGACCAGAGAGAAAGAGAGGCTACGAGAGGGACCAGAGAGAGAGCCCAGAGCGAGAGGCCAGAGCGAGAGACCAGAGAGACACCATGTGCACCAGACAAATATATAACAGTAACAGAACAAGTCACAAACCAGGAAGTCACTTTGGCTCGTGATTCAAACAAGTTCCGACAGTAAAAATAGATCCTACTCGGACATGCGACCATAAAAACCAAGCCATGGACTCACCACGCCCTCTGCATACATTACTTTTGTCTATTTCTGTGTAGGAAGCAGGTCAGAAAGCCGCGGTCGTCCTTCAGAGCTGGAAGGACCGAGAAATGTGTCCTCACTGCTCGCTGGAACTCACGCTGGGGCCATAGAAGATTAGAGCCTCCACATCCCGCCGATTAGCACTAAAAAGACTTCAAACAGGCCCTCTGAGCCAGCGCCCCACTTCCACCAGCCAAGGTTTACTCCAAAACATTAGCATAAAGGGATATCGCTGTGTATAACCCAAAAGGGGACGAGAAGTGATCAGGACGACGAGTGGTAATGATGATTGGGTTTTATGTGGATTTTCTTTGGACGTAAAATAAAATTCAGAAATTGCTTTTGTTGAGTTTGAAGTAGGGTTAGCACATTATCAAAATATGTTATGAGCTCAGTCCATTCATTTTTTTTAACTTTAATTTCTCAGTTTTAATCAGTTAAAGTTTGGTGGTCCTAGCCTGGTCTTACCACACCATCGTACTCATTTCATTTCATACCAAGGTCTGGATTGGCTCCATTCAGCTCTGTTAACAGGTGGGAGGGGTTAGTTCCTTTGGCAGATTGAATCGATAGGATCAGAGTTTACTGTGACGTATGAATTGAACCCGAGTGAGTGAGGCATTTAGCATTTAGCCTAACTTTAGCCATCTCCTTTCCCACTAACGGAGCCCGTGGGGAGTAGAGCCACAACATCTTTGCCTCAATGACATTTGCTAAACTTTCCTCTTGCTCCAGCTTCAAATTCTTGATATTTAGAGCCAAACCAGAACAGATTACTTTACAATTCTCCCCCAAACTTCAACCAACCTACAATACCCGCCTCCCCCGCTCGCTGATTGGTCAGAAGGGATTAAACCAAGGAAACCGCAGCCACTAAGATCAAACCCGGACATACATGAAGGTAATGATAATAAACCAGAGTTTACACATGGATAAGACCAGGCTATACTTGTCTAAAACAGTCTAAATAAAACCTCCAGTCCCATATCTGTGCCTCTCTCTGTGGCTTGGGAGCGGCAGCAAGTTTCATGATAATACCCTGGGAGTCGAAAGCACCTGCAGTCCGATAGCCAGTCCAGTCCGGTTTCTAGCAGATCTCCTTGGCGATAGGGGGTAAAATGAAGCCAGGCCGATCGGTATCAGTGCCGGCTGTAATGGACTAGGTGGCGGCCAGATAACCATCTCGCCAGAGCTCACAGAGGGCATTTTATTGAGTCGCGTTCGGTTCCGCGAGGGTCGGCGTTTGGATGGAAGCAGAGAGGACTTCAAATTCAATCACAACTGGAGAGGGTTTTGTGTCTGTGTGTGGTGGAGAAGTGCGACTCATTTCGTTGGTGAATTGTGGGGTGCTCGGACTAAAATGTAATACCTATCTGTGAGACAGAATGAGATGTTACTCAAAAAGTGTTAGAACAAAATAAGGCGTTGGTTTTGTGGGTTTAGATTTGAGAATGGGATGAGAAAGAATGTTTGTTGAATGAAAAGTTATGCCTAAATATTAATTTTATTGTACTTTCGTTAAAATTGAAAATGTAATACTAAAACTCCCAAAGCCGTCATTTTGACTGCTCCCGTTCAAACAATGGAATTCTGAAAAATTGCCCCAAAACCTTTTACCTTTTTACCTTGACTGAAGCTGGTGAATTTAAGTTGAAATACAGCTAAAGCAATGCAGCAAGCAGTCGTTCATCTCTGGTGGGAAAACAAGTGGAACCAGAATCCAGAGTTCAAAACTGAGTCCAAAACCTGAGTCCGAAAAACCGAGTTCCAAACCGGAGTTCCAAACCGGAGTTCCAAACCGGAGTTCCAAACCCGAGTTCCAAACCCGAGTTCCAAACCCGAGTTCCAAACCCGAGTTCCAAACCCGAGTTCCAAACCCGAGTTCCAAACCCGAGTTCCAAACCCGAGTTCCAAACCCGAGTTCCAAACCGCGGGTTCTAAACCCAAGTTCCAAAACTCGAGTCCCAAAACCCGAGTCCCAAAACCCGAGTCCCAAAACCCGAGTCCCAAACCTTCGAGTCCCAAACCTTCGAGTCCCAAACCTTCGAGTCCCAAACCTTCGAGTCCCAAACCTTCGAGTCCCAAACCTTCGAGTCCCAAACCGCGAGTCCCAAAACGCAAGTCCCAAACCCAGAGTCCCAAACCCGAGTTCCAAACCCGAGTTCCAAACCGCGAGTTCCAAACCCGAGTTCCAAAACTCGAGTCCCAAAACCCGAGTCCCAAAACCCGAGTCCCAAAACCCGAGTCCCAAACCTTCGAGTCCCAAACCTTCGAGTCCCAAACCTTCGAGTCCCAAACCTTCGAGTCCCAAACCGCGAGTCCCAAAACGCAAGTCCCAAACCCAGAGTCCCAAACCCGAGTTCCAAACCCGAGTTCCAAACCGCGAGTTCCAAACCCGAGTTCCAAAACTCGAGTCCCAAAACCCGAGTCCCAAAACCCGAGTCCCAAACCTTCGAGTCCCAAAACCCGAGTCCCAAACCTTCGAGTCCCAAACCTTCGAGTCCCAAACCTTCGAGTCCCAAACCTTCGAGTCCCAAACCGCGAGTCCCAAAACGCAAGTCCCAAACCCCGAGTCCCAAACCCGAGTTCCAAACCCGAGTTCCAAACCGCGAGTTCCAAACCCGAGTTCCAAAACTCGAGTCCCAAAACCCGAGTCCCAAAACCCGAGTCCCAAAACCCGAGTCCCAAACCTTCGAGTCCCAAACCTTCGAGTCCCAAACCTTCGAGTCCCAAACCGCGAGTCCCAAAACGCAAGTCCCAAACGCCGAGTCCCAAACCCCGAGTCCCAAACCCCGAGTCCCAAACCCCAAAATAAACGCTAATTTAATCAAAACTTTTGACTTAGTCAGACTGATTCTTTGTCATTAACATAGAAGTAAATCACCACGACACATTAGAATGAGTCTGGTGTGTGTGTGAGTGGTTGGTGGTGGGGGGAGGGGCTGATGGCACAGACTGGCTGCCTCGCCTTTGTCAGTATGCCCCAGGGCAGCTGTGGCTTCAGTAGTAGCCGTGAGAGTGCTAAAAACCTCTGCGTCATCATCTTGATAACCATGAGGAAAACCAACATGGACGATTTTGAAATTCCAAGCAGATCCACGTCACAGAGGCAAAGTTAGTGAAAAGCACTAAAAGCATGAAAGAGAAATGTGTTTAAATGGTGAAAAACACTTCAAACCCGATCAGCACTTGAGAAAGTCCTGAATAGACTTTGTGAGCTAAAGCCTCCTGAATAATAATCATATAATAATAAGACTGCTCTTAAAATAGGCCAAACAAACAGCAGCGGAGACATTTGCATAAAGTTCCGTGTGCTCTCTTCAAAGTCTGGTATTTTCATTATACCCAGGGCACGGTGCGTTCAGGGACCACGGAAAACACACTGGTTCCTAGAAAGAAAATAAATATGTCAAGAGTGTTTTTAGAATTTGGTAAAGAGCAAGAGATTCAGAAGCAGCTTCAATGTAGACGAAGCTAATGCTAATCCGAATGCTAACAAATACTACTACTACTTTACTGCTACTACCAACTCCAAGTACTAATATTAATACCACTACTACTGACCCAAATACTACTACTACTACACTGCTACTACCATCCCGCAAGTACTACAATTGCTATCACTACTACTGCCCCAAATACTACTACTACTACCCCAAATACTTCTACTGCTACTACTGCTCCATGTATTACTACTACCTCAAATATTCCTACTTCCACCTGAAATAATACTACTGCTACTACTACTACTACTACTTCTACTACTGCCTCAAATATTTCTACTACTACTACCCCGAATACTAATACTACTACTGCCCCACATATTACTACTACCTCAAATGTTCCATAATACTACTTACTACTACTTACTATAAGCAACAGTCATATGGGAGGTCTAAAATATTTGGTATTTTTGGAGCAATCACCTCTTTCATGCTCAGAATTAGCCTGGTCGTACCACACCATAGTACAAATTACATTTCATTCTAAGGTCTGGATTTGCTCCATTGAGCTCTGTTTACAAGTGGGAAGGGTTAACTCCTTTTGCAAATTGAAACGATTGGATCTGAGTTTACCGTGACGTATGTAGTGCGCCCGAGTCTGTTGTTAGCATTTAGCATTTAGCCTAGCCATCTCCTTTGCCGCTAACCGAGCCCGTGGGGAGTGGCACCACAAATTTTTCTAGCGATTACATTTGCTAAACATTCCTCTTGCTCCTGCTTCAATTTCTTGATAGAACCAGACCGGATTACTTTACTATTGCATTTTTCACCATTGCCAAACTACGACCTTCCCGCTCAACGCAAACTCTTGACGTCACCCACAACTAACTACAACTCTCTCCTTCCGCGCTCTCTGAGTGGTCGGTCCAAATTCAACCGATTGTAACCGCTAACACAGGGACCAGACCCAGACGTTACATGCAGTGAAATGATGAGTGAGCGGAATGTACGGATGGCTAAGGCCAGGCTAGCTCTGAATGAACATCTCTCAAACACACAAGAAAGCAAGTTTATTTGTTTGGCACAGTTAATGCACAAGGCAATACATGTAAACGTAATCATAGTATGTTAAGAAGAGTAAAGATACACTCTTTCAGTTGCAGCACAGCAAAACCGAACCGTTTTTAACCTATATTTGTACATTGTCAGAGTAGAAGCCTGTCTCACGTTTTCAGGAAGACTACCTCCCTTAGTTTAGTTTAGTCCTGACTGTGACTGTAACACAAAAATGGGAAAACAATTACAACACAACCTACAACTCATTGAAATAGTGCACTCACTGTCAGGAGGCTAACCGTGATTGACAAGGGCGTGTTGCAGTGACCTCCTTTGACATGTGGGGGCGCCGCCGGCTGGGGACGGGGGCAGTTGCGGAGGTGAGATGTGACAGATGAAGGCCTCTTAGACCGGGGTGAGGGTGGGGGAGGGTATGACGAGGAAGGACATGCAAAGTGACAGCGCAAAACAGAGAGTGGACAAGTGACGATTTGTAAGTATGAGGGAGGCCACGGCACAGGGCAGAAGTGTGTCAATAATTACATCAGAAATATAAATAGATAGATATATACTTTATTGATCCCCGTAGAAGAAATGCAGGTGTCCAGAAGCAGCAAAAAAAAAAAGTAAAATTGAGCATCCTTAAAATTTAACAATAGTAATGATACAATATACCAGTACTTCAGGTCACAGCAGCAGAGGTGGAGTAGCTGCTTGGTTCGGACCATTTTCTCTGCTCTGGTCTAAAATAAAATGTTAGCATTGCTTCAGTGGATTTTTGCCTGATCCACTTGGTTCGGACCATAAATCCTCTCTGCTCTGGTCTGGACCCGTGAAAACCATGAACACTGCACTGTAGCAACATCTCAGGTAGAAAAAAAGGAATAAAGATAAAAATTGTAAACCACAAAAAACACAACTGTTTCAGAGCTATTAAGGACTTGCTGCCGTTTCCAGCGCATTCAAAAGTAAAAAAGAAAGAACTCAATAATACATGTTTTTATCTGTCTATTTATATTAGATTCAGATTCAGATTCATTTATTTGCCACACACCAGAGCTCTTGCCACGGCGCCATCTTTACGGCGCCATGCGACATTTTTTATCTTTCCATCAGTATTCATATTCGGTTTATTTGCCATTTGCAGTAAAACCACATTGGAATAATTGCCATTGTCCCCCAACTTCTTTGAACCAATTTTCCCACTGTAGGACAAATGAAGTATCTCTTAATCTTAATTATTTTTGATTGATCAGTTGATAGTGGATCTCACCAATACCATCTCAAGGCGCATTAACCACTGAAAACAACTACCAATGCATTTAAAAAACTCAATGTATGCCATTAAATTGATATGTTAGACGGATGGATAGATGAAAGGATGTATTGGACTTTCAATACCAGAATGATTTCTTGGTCATTTTCCAACGAGAGAAATAACATGAATTGAAAACCGTCAAAAATAATCTATATTTTTTTATGAATAATTTGAAATTGTAGAGCTGTTGCGACTCATTCAAAAAACAAAAGTGGCGGAAACTGCCCAAATATGAATGGAACCTGGTCTAATACCGGTTGAAACCTGGTCTAAAATTGGTCTAAAACTGGTCTAAACCTGGTCTAAAACTGGTCTAAAAATGGTCTAAACCTGGTCTAAAACGGATTGAAAGCTGGTCTACAGTAAAACTGGTTTAAACTTGGTCTAAAACTGGTCTAAACCTGGTCTAAAACTGGTCTAAAACATGTCTAAACTTGGTCTAAAACATGTCTAAACTTGGTCTAAAACTGGTCTAAAACTAGTCTAAAACTGGTCTAAATCTGATCTAAACTTGGTCTAAACATCTGGTCTGAATCTGGTCTTCCCTGGGTCTAAAACTGGTCTAAATGTGGTCTACCTTCGGTCTAAAATTGACCCCCCCTTTATCTAAAACTTGTCTAAAACTGGTCCTAAACCCGGTCTGGGAGAGATTTAAATGCATGAGTGGTTAAAGGAGAGATAAGAAACAAATCTCGACTTTCAGAGACGGAACATTCACAATGGACGGATAAACGCACTGTTCTGTAAATTGCCGGATCATCACCGCAAAGCAGTCGTATACAAGGCGTGTGTCCGAAGGCGCGTGTTCGCGGGGTGTAAATAAAGCAGGCGGCTGTGGGATCCCCCTCTGAGCTCGTAATAAAACAGATCCGTACCTTATGGCTGCTCTCAGTGTGTGGGAGGCCTATTTTTACTACGGGAAACTTTGCAACATTGAACAAAGCCGTGACGCGCTCCAGATGGCTAAATGTCTAAATGTGTTAATGAAGTTAAGTGTTATTGTGAGTTTTATGGAATTTCTGACCCGTGCACGAGTTTTATGGGGACCCCTTGATAAAAGGATTCATGGATCTAAAGCAGAGAACAACAGAAAGTCATGAAGAGAAATATTCAACAATTCGTAAAGAATGAATCAGAGAATGAAACTGTTCAATCACAAGAAATGCAATGATATCAAACACACAGGATTCATTGGGACATAGGGAACGGCAGAATTAATGCAAAAAATGTTTACAAAAATGTACTAAAAGGTCCTTAATTCCTCCAGATTATCTATGGACTTTGGCCCACCTGTGCAGATTTAAACGTTTGGATCTGGGTTTACCATGACATATGTGATGCGCCTGAGCAAGAGAGGCATTTCGCATTTAGCCTAGCTTTAGCATTTAGCCTAGCTTTAGTCACCTCCTTTGCCACTAAAGGAGCCCATGGTGAGTAGAGCCACAACATCTTTGCAGCCATGACATTTGCTAAACAATCCTCTTGCTCCGGCTTCAATTTCTTGATATTTGGATTGAACCAGAACATATTTTTTTCTATCTATTGCATTCTCCGCCAAACCAGCAAATTTGGCAAAAACTCTTGACGTCACCGACACCGACCTACAACACTCGCCTCCCCTGCTCACTGATTAGTCGGAGGGGATTCAACCGAGGTAACTGCAGCCACTATGAAGGGATGAAGTAGGTCTGTCAGGGTCAGTTCTTCAGTGGTTCTCTTCCTACTTATCTGGGCGGAGCTTCAGTGTTAAAGCAAACCAAATCAGATCTGAGTCAGTAGATCTGTTGTGTGGAGTGCCTCAAGGCTCAGTCTTAGGCCCTGTGTTGTTTTTGTTGTATGTGCTCCCTTTTGGAAAGATTATTGAAAGTTGTTGTGATGTTTCCTATCATATGTTTGCAGATGACATCCAGATTTATTGCACGTTTAAGCCAACTGAGCTCCATAGGCTTGATTCCTTAGTTCGTTGCCTAGTGGAAATCAAGCAGTGGCTAAGTGAGA